TTGTATCCAAGCCCTTGAAAGGCCACATGGCCGAACAAGAAGAAAATAAATGAAAAAAAAGAAAAAAAGGGAGCATTTGTAAGAATTCAAGTTTCCATGATTTTGACTCGGAAAGCAATGACCCCAATCGACTTGCATTTTGAAGGTAGTTTCAAATAGCATTGTGGTGTCAGGGCGGATGGATAAAGTCTGCCGCTGAATGTATGTTGCATTTGAGAAACGACTTGAAGGGTAGATTGTGAGAGAACTGCGAAAATATTGAATCCCAAACAAATAGGAGTTGTCATGAAGATCTAATTTCTTATAAACAATTTCATGTCTCCAAAACGAACGGCGATAGCGCCAATCGAATTGCAAAATTTTGAATCTCGTTTAAAGGCAGTTCAGAAAGGACAATAAAAATGTTTGGATAATTTAAAAACTTGTAAACAATTTCTAATTTTTGCAATTCTGAAGTAGGAAGGGTTCCTTGGTGTTCCAGAACCGAAAACTGTGAATTAATTATTGTTGTAACAATTAAAAGTTTTATAAAAAAATTCGAAACGTGAACTATACAATCCGGGAGGGTCTTCAAATTGTCTCTGAGTTGAATATCGCAAAATAACAATTTTCGTAAGAGATGCAAAATTATTACTAAATACTCTATTTATTTGTTGCACAAATGTTAAATTTAGTAAACACTAATAGCTGAACATTGTTACTTCGCCAAAACTTCTTACTCCGAAAACTTTTTTCCGATCCTCGAGCCGACATCGCACACTTTATTTCTTCATTAGGGGGAGCAATTGCGACAGAAACAAGTTTTACTCAATTTTCTATGATCAGTGATTTATAATAAATCGTTTAAATATTTTGACTCACAAAAGCAAAAATGCATACAAATTTCTGGTAATATCAACTGCGTGAGAGGTATTTCCATTTGCGTAATTTTTGAAAACAAAAAAAAATACATCAAAGTAGCAGTGATAACAAGAAAATGGCGTTTGAGCGATTTTGAAAATTCGGAATTTTCAGTTCATTTTCACAGAAAACTTTTTCTGTGAAACGTTTTCGAGAAATTGTATTAGACATCATTTGAAACACTTGTACTCATAAACGTAATAATGTAAACAAATGCTTCTAATGCAAATATTAACAACGTGAGAGAGAAGTAAAAATATTACAATTGTGTAACGTTTGAAAAAACAAACCAATAGAGAAAATGGCGTTTATTTCATCTGTTACAGTACATTTATTTAGTATTATCCCTACTAAAGGTTTAAAGAAAACATTGGAGACGTTTTTGGGAAAATTTCAAAAATTTTGCAGGGACTTCACTTAAAGTACTCACAAAATGTAAAGAATGACTTTCAAAATCGCAGAGCTTCGAGGCAAATTAGATCTAACGGAGAATAACTTTTTAATAAGTAACTAGTAGGGCAATAGCATGGCACAAACATTCTCGTACTAATTATTTTTCAAATTTCATCTCAGAAAATTCTATTTTGAAATTTTTCAAAATAGTTTACTTTGTTTCATCATGAAACCGTAATATTACTTCAAGAATATTATAGAAAATTAAAATCTCGTCCTATATGGAATTTGTTGTTGAAACTTCTGGAGCCATTTTTAAGAAAATGTAGTTCAAGTATTGTGAACGTGCGCTGGAAAACGGTGAATTTTCTAAAGTAAAATTCTTATTGTAGAAAATGTGGATAAATACTTTTCTTATATATAATAAATTACTTACGCTAATATGATATGCAGTCAGAATCCATGTTTTGTGGTTCCTTAATACCAAAAAAATAGTTTGTTTGCAAAACGTCCGGCTGGATGTCCGATCATTTTAAAGGAACCCGAAGCCCTCTGAGTTTGAAACGAATATTTTGACTTTAAAAAGTACTTGACACAAAGGCATCTATAACATTTCAAAACTTTCTCAAAATAGGCTCCAATTTTTTTGATTAAACTTTGCATTCTGAAAGAGAAGATCGTTTAAGAGAATGGTGCCGGTCTCCATTTCTTTGAAATCCCTGATTTTTCAAAAATTGCAATAATTTCAAAATTTTTCCGCGTCTTACATCTATAATGTTGAAGATATAGATTTGTTTACTTTTCGCCCATATGAAGGTACTTAGTAAGAAGTGTAAGTTACGTAATCGTTAGCCGGAAAACGGCAAATTTTCGGCAGAAAAACTCTTATTGCCGAGCCCTGGAAACAAAAATGTGGATACATCCAAATTCAGAATACAGAAAAAGTCCTTCAATGTGGTATAGCGAGAATCCATGTTTTGTGGGTTCTTAACAACGAAAAATTGATTGACGGCAAAACGTCTGTTCGTCCGTCTGTGGTCAAACCTAGCGTCTGAACCGTTCAGGCGATTTTCTTCAAAATAGATATTCTCTGATCAATCTGAATGAATACGAGGCTTTAGATGTTTGAAACGGATATTTTTGTTTTTTAAGGTTCTTGACATGAGGCGAGCATTTTGAACGTCGGCCCGAGTGGCAGTGTCTGAGGTATAGTGGTATGAGTGACGAGTTAACTCTGTAGATCTAAGTTCGGGTTGCTGAGCCGAAAAACAAATTGCTGGTTGAATTTACTTTTTCGGGTTAATGTAGAAGAACAATATAGCGGAGCAGTTAAAAATAATCTTTGAAAGTATGTGCAGTGGTAGCACCTCTAGTTTCTTAATGAAATCTGTTTTTTAAAGGCCGATATTGAAGTAAGGTAATGCACAATTTTTCGAAAATATGAGCATTTTTCGCGTAATTTTGCGTGAAATTTAAGCAATTTTGAAATAATTTTAATTCTGTTTTTCAAAAAAAGCCCCTTTTTTAACTTTCTCCTTGTATCTATCAAAACACGGCAAACAATTGGTGACAGTATCATATCCGGCCACCTCTCTGTAATTTCAAAAATTTTATAAATTTAATACTACAAAATTGAAGATTGAGATTTTTTTCTAAACAAATCAGTGCTAAAAATTCAACTCTAAAAAAGATCATGTAAAATTTTTTAAACTAGTAATTTTCACGTAATTAAATTTAAATTTGATTGAACTTAGAGTAATTGATATAAAGAATTTCTTCAAAAGCAATTGTTCTTCAAAATTGGCCGACGGATAAAATAAGGAACGTTTACAAGAATGGCACAAATTCATTCTCCTTGTACTCTGAATTTTTTTTAAAAAAATGCAAATTTAGAAAGAAAGAAAGAAAGTGTTTACTGTTGTAGAACTGCTAGTTTGGTGAACATGACATTCATTCCCTTCCTTCCACACCCACTGAGTCTCTTACCCACATAATAGTTATTCAAGTAATAAGTCATTTATATGAGATGAGTCCGGGAGAAATTTCTTCAGGTGTTCCAGAGTTATGTCGGCTCGTATTCACAAACATACAATTATTTTCATAAGTCGGTTTCAAGAAAAGTGATACTTCTAAAATATTGACATTTTCGAGAGAACAATTTTAATCTGAGCAGAATCATATATTTCGCGGCTAAAAACATTATGGTGGTCTCTGTGTATGTGTGAACTACATTTAAGGAATGATTATGGTGAGAAGTAGACTAACTTATAGACTTACTTCCTTGTACACAAAAATGACGATTGCGTATGTAATTTTTCTTATGTACCAACCGTGATGTAGAGAAAATAGCCCGTATTGTATTTTAGAAGTAGCTGTGCTGAGGGATCGTGGAAGAAGAAATAAAAGTCCGATAAACAGGTACAGACAGGTTTATTGACACAAAGCGCAGTACATGATGTGGGCGCGGGCGCGAGCGCGGCGGCCGGGGCAGGGGCGGGGGCAGGGGTGGGGAGGCCTACTCCAGCTTGTTGAAGAAGGGCGCGATGGAGGCGAAGTCCTCGCAGTCGGGCACCAGCTTGCCCTTGAACTTGACGCAGGAGTCGGCACACAGCTGGCCCTCGAAGTAGGGTCCGAACATCTTTTTGCACTGCGCGCAGTTGCGCACGCACAGCCCCACGGCGGCGGCAGCGGCCGGGTCGGCGTGCGCCCCCGGCGCGCCCAGGCCTGCCAACAGCAGCAGCAGTGCCGCCAGCGCCAACCCTGCAACCCACACCACCAACAGCTCTAGCGAGCGCAAGCGAACGCAACGCTCGTCGAATGGCCTACATTAGAAGAGTGCTAATTCAATAGTTGAAAGTGCTAAGATACTTGGGGCAAGTTAGTTTAGCCAAGAAATCGTCCATTTGACTTCCTTTCCTTTTTGCCATGTAGACTGAGAAGCTCCGGGTTCAGTTTCAGTGGTTAATGTCAAACATCCTTTGGGTCAGCCGACGAGACCTTTCCAAAATGCTCAACTCAGAACTTCAACGTATAAGGTGTTAGCACTTAATTAAATAAGTTAATTCCACACATGTTCCATGTATGCGTATGTTTCGCTGTTTGTCAAAAGAAATACTTGCCCGCGAAATAGGACACGCAAGGCGTTGCTTAAATCGCCAGCACTTCATTCAAGCATACGTTCATGCTACAGGATCACATTGTATCGAAGTAGTTCGATGTGGAAGAAGAGAATAGAAATCTGTACGTTAATTAATACGGTGTAGATAAATTACTTTCTTTACTTTAAACATTGTGTGATGAATTATTAATTAATAAATTATACTACTTACTAACCTACTTGTATATTACCATTTTATGTTGTAATTCTGGTTTATCAATATGTTCATGTTATGTACTTACACCTGGAGGGGGGACAATTTTTGTTACGAAACTGATGGGATTGTTTTGAACGTCGAAAGGTGGCATTTTGGTCCGGGCTCTTGTTGAACGGTCCCCGGCCAAGGCGAGGCAGGAAGCACTCCGCGGCGCTTGTATTGTTTTCTTTTGACGTGCTCCACAAGTGGTCATTGACACAAGTATATGAAACTTTTGAGAACCTGGTATACAAGCTTACTTTCAAGACGAGATGGGGTGTTTGGATTGCCATTATTTATTTTCAAATTTTAGGGATTTTTGTAACCCAGAATAATATGTTGAAAATATAGATGTTTAATGCACACCATCAATATGTAATTATGTTTGAAACTGATTTAATTCCCTTTTTAAAGCATCTTTTAGATAAAATAACAAAAACTCACTTATCCGTTTCAAGAATTCAGTATTGACGTCAGGATGAAAAACGTTTGCATTGAAGCAAAGAGCACGTACCAGCCATTGTATGAAACGCGCTAACCTGTTCCTCTAGGCAAAGAACGAAAATGAGCATCGCAAGACACCATGTTATTTCAACATGACCAGTAATAGCTAAGTAGAAAAAATAGGAAGAGAGTTAATATAAAACTAGAAATGTTACTCAGTCAAACTTTTAGAAACTATTTACCTTGGTTTCAACCATGATGATCGCCCTTGTGCATAAACGTCCCTCCGGGTTCTCAGAATGTTCAGTCTAAACTAACGATAACTTTGTATTGTAAAATGTAGTCAAAGACAGTAATGCTGTGACGAAATTGTGTTATGTTTTCATTGCTAAGAGAAGGGAAACATGGATGCACTTATTTACGGTGTTCTTAGGCTGAAAATGTAAAATTAGTTCTCTTCATAATTACATCTACCAACTGGCATAATTTCTTTGCATTACATTAACCACGCTATTTGGTGAGATTTCTTCTTAGGGCTTTAGCCAGTTAGTTTCCCACTGGCAACGTGACTTACTGCAGTGATAGATTTCAGAGGAAGAAAGCGAGACTTAAGCGCCGCTTACTCGATTTCAGTGAGCTGGTCAATAAGCCGTTAGAAGCGTTGCAATCTTGACTATCTCCAAAGGGCTGGCCTCGCAAGAACGTGAAGGTTGGACACGGTACAAGACAAAAGTGTGTTGTGCGCTACGGAAAACGAAATGGTTCCCTGCGCGAAGACTAGGAATGAACGTAAGGAACGAACGTGCACGGTGTTGAGTTTCTTTTGGAAAGGCCTGAAGGACATGCAAAAAGGATTATTTTTAGAGAAGTTATCACTCTTACGAGGGTGGAAACTTTGCTGCAAATGTATGTAAGACAAGAGGCTTCTGCTCGGCGATAGATCACTGAACTCATGTTCCTGATCTGACCTGACTACAAAGTTGAAGCGCATCCGGTAAGTGGGACAGGGTAAGTGGGACAGCCGTTCTACGAAATATCTTTTGCGCCGTCCGTAGAGAACGCCAGCCGTTGCCAGGGGCACTGATGAAGAGCCAACTCCTGTTTGTAAACGACGCTTTCGTTTCAGAGATACTGTGACAGGGTCCAGGAGCCACTAAAATGATCGCTTTTCATATCTAGCGCGCGAGGGACTTGCGGGGAAACGAGTTATAGAAATTTCAATGTCGACATTTGTACACACTCGAAGCTCGAGTTTGGCGGGTTGAACGCCCCTCAGGCGACGCCCTCGCACTTCCCCAAAATCTGCACTTACTACACCGTCGAAAATCGTGAATTTGCGCACATATAACAACTCTAATAAATATCATTGGCGTGTACTATAGGTTACCTAACATTTACAACGACCTGCCTACCTTTTTAATGTCTATCCCCTTTATTTATTGATGAGTGATTGCGTTCATTATGTTCATTTTGATTCATTATGTTTTAGGGTTTTACACCACTATTGAGCAAATGATACGGATGTTCTGGTATGCGCGTTGATTTGCTGTTGCCTTCCACGCCAAAATCGCAATTTGAAATCGTTCTCACCTTACGCGGGGTTGGAGCACATGTCTATACGCTCTAAGCAAAGGAGTTGCGGTCACGAATCTTTGCTCCAGGAAGGTTTGCTGTTTAAATAAAAACTCGACGAATTAAAACTGAGCAGTGAGTGCAACCTCCTTTTTATCTGGGCCTTTTCTTTTCACACTCGGTAGATCAAACTCTTTATTTTTTACGTAATTCATTTCGTCTGAAGCTGTCTTATTTACCTGGTATATGATTAATGAATATTTTGAAAATGTTCAACTGCAATTATTGCACCATCTATCTACAATTTGTGCTGTGATTGTTCCACTAGTACTGGCCGGATTACCTTCATACAACTTTTGTTGACTATCAGTTGGAAACACCGTCAAAAATGTTGGCATTTTTCAATTTAAGGACAAAGCAATTTGTTGGGATCAATTTCTTAAGAACTCAACAGCGCAACAGCTTGCTCCTGCCGTATCTGCCGATGATAAAACTTGAACTCAGCACACATTTTGTTTGAAGGACATTGTAGGTACAATGTCATTTCTGCCACCAGACGTTTTAATTTTCTGGAAGAATTCACTGTGAGCTGCTGGTACTTAATGGTTTCTTAATAAATACTTATTTTCAGACGATTCTAGTAGCCACAGTGAAAAACAGGTGCAAGAAGAAATACAACAATGTTTCGAGAACTACAGGAGAGAAAAAGAAAGTTGTCATACATCTAAAAGTTTCAACAACAATTTCCAACACATAAGTATCTGTCATAGTATGAAAAATGTTAATAAACTTTGTCAACATAAACGTAAGGTCATAATATGGTAATTGAATTAGATGAAATGATAACTGATTACGCAGAAGTTATAGAAAAATATACTTGCATTTACATTTACGAAATAAAAATCTATTTCACTAGATTTTCTTTGGTACTCTGGGTGATTTTTACTCCAAGAATGTATTTTTAGGGGATATTACTCAAAAATAATATTAATTTTCTCGAATTTTATTTAAAATTAACGCCATTGCAATAATTCACCAAGAACAATTACCGCCAAGCCATGAAATACTTCGTAGATGCAAATGAAAGTACATTTCAAGTTCACTTCAATAAATATACTTACGTTAGTTATAAAATTTGAACATGCAAATTTTACGTAATTAAGTGAAATAACACAATATATTCACTCACACCAATCATGGATCTTCATTCACAATGTCTCTTGTACTGCGGAAAAATAATTTTCAACAGAAGTGCATCTCAGAGATTGGGTTTGTCAGCAATTTTTTTGCATGTGTCAAATTTGCCAACATCTCTCTGATATATTCTTGTAGAGCATTCCGTGAATGTGGTTGATGGCCTCAAAAAGAAAAAGAAAAACAGTCAAAATAAAAAAACAAAAATATCTCACCAGACCATGGCGCAAGACGATGCGTACTCTCCAAGAACGACATATCTATCTGAAAAAGTATGACACTTGTGCAACAACGACTGTCCATTCGAATCCACGTTTCCCGTTACTATTCACTTACGTGGACGTTATTTGCAGATCTTTAACATTAGAAACCCAGATAAGCATCCAAACCTGAGTTTCATAGTACCTCAATTAATCTTGTTTGTTTTTGAACTACGTCTGTTTCATAATTAATTTAAATGAATTTATAAATCCAATCTAGCTTCCTTACATTTTTATTAAGAAATCGTTTCTTTAAAACGTGTTTGATGTGCTAAAATGGTGTAAATGTTATTGAAAAAACTTTTTCTAGTTAAAACAGAACAAGTCCTCACTGAAAAAAATGTGAATCCTCAGAGGAGTTCTGTATCCAATAACCTAAAAATATTATTTATTTCATGTGAATTCTCTCTTGAACTTACCTGTCACCGCTCGATCACTGACCTGGTCCTAATAAAAACACGGTCCACGGCTGAAGCAACATCTGTGACCAATGGCGAACTGAGCCAACATCAAAACTTCTTGATGAAGACAATACACTAACCTCGATTAATGGATTTGGCTCTGGAAAATTGACTTTATTCATTACCCCTTACTTTGATGTCACACGGAAAGTCAATCGTAGATATTACTTAACAAACCGTGTTAAAAGTTTTAGAGTATTGATGGAAAATTCTATGTTACTTGCAAACAGGGTGCATTATATCTGGTGTCTGTTTGCCAATTTCACAATGTGACATGCAAATCTTCGTCAGCTTCTAATATCTTGGTGGCAGCAAATGAAACAACTAAAATAAAAAATGGTTGTCACAAAAAACTTCATTTCTTTCAATCACCTACAATGACAGCGACAAATATAATTTGGATATTACACTACCGCGGTCTTCACAAATAGTAACAAAAATTAAAATAAAAAGGAACATGAAAACTCTGACACCTC